TATTTGAACAGTCCAGATGATAATCAGGTGCAGGTCAATGTATGGAGTTATTCTTATTATTCACATGATTTGTTCTATTATTCATGTGTTTGTTTTCTAACTGTGCTCAGGGCATATCCTGCTTTGGGTTTCTGAGCCAGGAGATGTTCCGAGGACCACAGGCAGTGTGGGAATCGAACCAGGGTCGACTGGATGCAAGACAAGTGCCTTAACTCCTGTACTGTGTTTTAAATAACAGTTCTTTTTCCCAAATGAGATACTTTTTTTTAAATTTTATTGATTCACCATGAGATATAATTACAAGCTTTCATGTTTGAGTTACAGTCATGAGATATTATTTTAGCACCAGTTATAAAAGAAAGGATGACCCCTTGAATGTGATATCATGTGTGTGTGTGTGTGTGTGTGTGTGTGTGTGTATTTCATTAACAAGGTAGTGCTACAGTCTACAGGGAAATTAGAAAGGACTACATTATTAGGATAATAGAATAAAAGGAAAAAATATTTCTTAAAAATACCCAAGTAAATATACCTAAATGCAGGTTAAATTATATTTGGCTGCAAACTATACATTTATTCTGGCAGTTACATAACAATGTTTCACAATCCTTTACATTATAATTGCTCACAGTGTGCACATATCAGAAAGGCAAATACATTTTAAAAGACCACTTTAGTCTAAATTTCATCTGAAGTTTATTTACTATATTATCATTTTTACTTGTCTGTTCTCCCTCACTCCAAATTATTCTGTCAATGTGAAAGAGTCACATTGAATTAATGTGAAAACTCTTACTTTTTTTTTTAACTCATTTGATTCACATTTAGCTGGAGTTAGTAAAAGCATTTCTGTGGAAAAGGATCAGTACCACTTCTTCAATTAGGTCAGGGCTTCCTGCCATTAAAAATTGACAGAAAAAGCAAAATGTACCAGGCTGCAACTCTGGAAATAGAGCTATTAGGGCCTCCCCAGGATCCCTGGTCCTAGGGTTGACCTCAAATCCCTTCTGTCTCGAGCCATAATGATTTGGAGGGCCTTTGTGACCAGACTCATTGACCGAAGATAGAAACTTCTGAAATATTAAACTAAGCCTGGCACTATGTTGCAGTTGGTCACACCAGATCATCACTGGATAAATATTTCAGAAAGACATTCAGAGACAGGCTTTAGGTGACTTACACAAATATGGTCAAATATAAATAAAGTTAATCAACATGAGCCTGAAACTGTGTAGTAGGGAAATAAAGTAACATTCAAGCTTTGAAGTCAGAATTTTGGGGTTTACATTCCAGCATGGATTGAATATAGTGACCTTCAGTAATGCTCATGATCTCTCTGATCCATATTTTATTAAATGGCTTGGAAAACAGAGATATCAATGTAAAACTAGAACTATAAAACCAGCTGTCACAAGCAAGTTTTGATAATTAAATGATGCATGCAAATTACTTACTTAGCACATTATTTGGCACCAAGGAAGCATTTTAAGAATATTAAACATCCTGGTTAGTATTCTAAGAACTTTCTTCAGTCAGACGTACACAAACTTTGAAGGGATTTACTCTTCTGATGAAAATTAAGCTAAGAACAAGAATGTCAAACCTACCTCAAAACTTCAATGTAAGGACACAATACAAAGTGAATTATTTCCAGGCTAGAGAGATAATAGAGTTGGGTGTTTTTGCCTTGCATGAGGATGACCAGGTTCAATCCTCAGCATCCCATATGGTTCTCCCAACGCTGCGAGGCGTAACTCCTGAGCATCATTGCTATGTTTGGTCCAAAAACAAACAAACAAAAGAATAAATAAAAAACACAGCGAATTATTTCTTTCATCATGTTCTTATGCCTTCTTCTCTGATGCTGCATGCATATATTAATGATAATTTAGATTAAAAATAATAAATCCACTAATAATTTAAATTATTACACTACCTTCTGAGTAGCCTGTTTCATATTTTAAACATTTACAAATCATAGTTGTAATTTATCAAATTTGTTAAACATATAGCTGTTTCAAAACAAATCGTGCACATCCTTTAGCAAAACCTACCATTTGAGTATTGTTAGTAATTAGAATAGAGAATTATATTATGGACTATTCTTTTTCCATATGCACACTATACCTTTAAGGTAAGACCCCTAATACTTTTTTGTATTTATTTTTGTTTCTGAGGCACTCCTGGCAATGCTCAGGACTTACTCCTGGCTCTGTGCTCGGTGGGCCATACAAGGTGCCAGGGATCAACCCTGGGTCATCCACTACCAGGCAAATGCCTTACCAGCTTACTATCATCTGCCCCCAAGCCCCCTCTTAATTTATAAAATAACTATTTGAGCATTTTTTGTGTCCTATTGGTTGGCCATCTTAATAATGCAACAGTTTGGAACAGGATGTTATTTTCATCACTCTTAGATATTAGTGTTGAAATGATGTTTTTGTGACTGCTTGAAAAGGCAATGAATATAATGATTCGGTTGTATGTTATTAGCTTCATAATGTAGAGTTATTCTCCATTTGTAGAGGAGGGTAAAAGGAGTCAGAAACATTGAACTGGTGGGGGGTAGGGCAAGGATGATGAGAGGGTCAGTATTTTTGTTGAAATGTAACTATGGAACTGTATTGTATTTGGGGCTCAGTTTTTTGTTGAAATATAACTATGGAACTGCATTGTATTTGGTCAGAGAAGAAAATGTTATTCACTGTTAAGCCAGGATTTCAAAACCTTGTCTAAAAACTTAGTATTTGTTCTCAAAACTGCATTTTCTTTTGCATTTGTTCTCAAAACAAATAAGCAGAATCACGGATAATCAAATGAGTAAATAATAATTGTGTAATATCACATAATAAAGCTAATGTTCCTTTAACAGATATCTTTAAAAACACAAGTGGCATCTGTTGTGTCTGAACCTGCCATGCAACTACTGCTCAGACAGATAGGATGATCTCTAAATCTCTCTTAAGAGATTTATTTCTAAAATCATTTCCCCATAACATCGCCTTTTCAGAACTAGGACAACCAAACCCAGCCCTGAATGTGGTGTTCAGGTTTGTATTTCTACCACCGCGCTCACCTGTTTTCAAGGTTTAATCAAGCAACCTGATGCCACTCTGGCACAAGGTCAAGGAACTAAAAACAAACAAATAACAACAACAACACCCCCCCCCCCCCCACACACACACATACACACACAGGGCTGGCCACTGAGGGTTTTTTTTATTAAGCCAAGTTGCACCCCATCTAAAAGGTCATGCTCTGCTGTATCTACTCTTGGGGAAACCATCTGCTCTTGGGGAAACCAGCATTAGTGACAGTGTTGGGGGGGCATCATTTTGGAGGTACCTCTTCTTTTCCTGCCCCTGTCCTACCTAGCCTTAGTTACCAGGGCTTGGGGGTCACTCCAGGAAGAATCCCCTGAAAGCCAGCACCCACCTTCTCTCTGCTACAAAGGCTCATTCACAAAAACCCACAACCCAGGCTGTCCAGTCCCTTGGAATTTTAGCTAGACAGAGGTTCAAGCACACCTTCCCCCTGCCCTGAGTGTCTCCTTATGCGTGGCTGGTGAGCCAAGAGGGAGGGTGATAGTAGAGGGCAGAGAAGAAGAGTCCAAGTGGGGTTTTGCCCCACTGGGACCCAGAGGACCGGAAACCTTTCTGGCCCCTCTCTCCCCCCACCCCAGCCCCCCACCTCCCGTTTTCCTGATCCAGAGGATGATGGAGTTGGAGGCAGGCAGGCAGGCAAGGGAACGATGATTCCGGAAATGGAGATATGACTCTCAAACCTAGAAATGATCGGAGCGATTTATTTAAAGTTAAATACTCCTCCTAGGAAGCCAGCACAACCCACATTTTAAAGGAGCCTGCCCAGCATCCATCATAACAAACAAACAAACAAGAAGAAAAACAACAACAACAACAACAACAACAACAACAGTTGCTTCCAAAGATTTTTTTTTTTTTTAGGAAGAAAGAAAAAAAAAACCAACAAAACAAAGACCTGTTCGGGTGCGCGTTCTGGCTGTCCTCTAAAGCTACAGACGACGAAGGTGGGGTGCAAGCGCTCACTACCTGTCAAAGTGGGAACCCAAGGGCGCTCAAGCCAGTGGCCGGCACCCTGCTGGCCAGCACTCAGCCCTGCCAGCCCTCGCCATGCGTGACTCTGCAGGACTCTGGGTCTCGGACATGTGTGTGGGAGTGTGTGTGTGTGCGGGAAGGAGCGAGGGAGGCAGGGGGGTGGGGGCGGCCCTGCACACGTGTAACCCTGCATCGCCCCGCGCCCAGCCTTGCGTTCATTCATCTGCGTGCAGTGGCTCGCGAGCCCGGGCAAGGTGGCCCCGCCAGGCAGACGAAGAAGGAGTTGCATGTCGAAGGGGCGCAGCCCTGGAACTAGAGGGATCCGAAATGCAAAGTGTGAGAAGCTCCTAACCCTTTCTACACCCACCCTCTATCTCTAAACCCGTCTCCATCCTCTCTAAAAAAAATTATAAATAAATAAATAAATAAATAAATAAGGGGGGGCGGCGCAGGGTGTGGAGAGATTGGGAGGGGGGGGGATGCTTGCAGCAGATTGTAGAAGGATTTTTTTTTTTGAGTCTGCAGCTAGAGAGAGAAGGAGATCAGGGCCAGAGCGGTGCAAGTTAAAAATCGTGCTGCATATCCAAAAAAGCAAGAAAGAAACAGAAAGAAACAGAAAGAAAGAAAGAGAGAAAGAAAAAAAAAATGGGCGGATTGGTCTCTAGATCCAGAGGCTGGTACCACCTTCCTTTCTAAAATAAAATCTCTCTGGCATGAAGTCACCGCCTATTTCACATCCGGTTTGCCCTGGGACGTATTACTACTGTCTCGGTACAGAGCACGAGCTTTTTGGCTTGTGCAGCTGCGGCGGGGCTTCTGGGGAGGCACCTTCGGGCGGGTGGACGCCCGAGCCCGGGAGCACGCAGAGTCCATGATGGCTCGGAGCGAGTGAGCGCGCGGCAGCGAGGACGCCCCTGCGCCCGCCCGCCCGCCGCCCGCCCGCCGCCCGCCGCCCGCCGCCCGCCCCGCGCACTCGCCGGCTCCGGGCTCGCCGCGGTCCTCCCGTGCACACTTTGCCCGGCTCCTGAGCATCCTGCGCCCGCCCGGAGGGGGCCCGCAGGTAAGAGCGGCTGCCGGCCGCAACGCCGAGGCGCGGACGCAGGCAGGCAGGCAGGCAGGCAGGCAGGCGGGCAGGCAGGCAGGGCAGGCTCGAGTGGGGGAAAGGGGACCGGGGGAGAGAGGACGGGGAGCCCGAGCAGGTAGCCGCGAGGATGTTTTCCCGGCCGGGCGAGAGCCGCAGCGACGGGCGGAGAGGAGCACTCTTTCCGCCCCCTCCTCGGCTCCCTCCTGGCCCCTCGCGCTTAGGTAGACTGGAATTTATTCCTCGGGTGGGTGGTGACATGTTGTTTTGGTCTTTTTTTTTTTTCTCTCTCCCTGCCCCGTCTTTTCCCCCCACCCCCCCCCACCCCCTTCCTCCTGCAAGAGAGACCTTGGATGAGGTGGGGAGGGGCGTCAGGGGGTAGGGTCTAAAGTTAAGACACTGGGACAAAAGGGGGAAAAAAAGCCAAAAAGCAAACAAACAGAAAAAGCCTGCCTCCGTGGTCCATCCTAGAAAGGCATGCATGCTCTCATTCTGGCTGCAAAAAGAAAAAATTTAAAAAAAAAAATTTTTTTTTCCCCTTTCCAGTGGGCGCTGCTGAAATGCCCTCTGGTGTAGGGGGTCTTTCCCAGAATGAACATGAAAAACTCACCTGACCGTTTGCTATGGGTAGAGCATGGGGTAATGGGTGTCTGGAGCGTGTGTGTTTGGGGGGAAGGCAGGAGGTAGGAAGGGGTGAAGAGGCAGCCCAGCGTTTCTTTTAAACTATTAATGTTTGTATTTGCAAGAAACTTTCTTACTCAACAACTCAAGTGCCAGGGTAGGTTTGTTTTTCTATTTTAAAATGTCAGAGGAAGACAACGAACTCTAATACTTAGTAGCTTTAAGCTTTGGCTGTATTTCATTCCTTGCCCCCCCCTTCCAGGATTTACCCCCTTTTAAAAAGACAAACAAATGTTAATGGGTAAGAGAAAGCCGTTTTCCTTAATAACGTGTTGAAGATTAACAAATATCGTGCAATTTAGTTGCACTATTTTAACAATATTTATCCAGTATTTATTCTCATATTCATCGCATGTCTGTCGAAACCAGTCCCCAAATTAAATAAAAACTAGGACAAGGTACATGGTTCTTAGCTCTAGATCTAAAAACCATTTCACTCTGAACACATTCATTATGTTTCACTGATCAAATGTCTCTTTGTAATGGTTTTTACTGATACAAATGATGCCTGAGAGTGTGAAAACATTTGTGTAGAGGTACTTAAAGGCATACAACGTTAGACTATAGAGCACTTGATGAAAGATGATCTTTAAAAGACATGCAGTCCATTAATCACTGACCCTACTATGGAGTTACAGATCCAGGGAACTGCTCACAAATGCCTTCAACCTTTCTTCTATCATGCCTGGGGTAGATCATTAATAATCACTTTATTAAAATAAAGTGCTACCATAACTGCTCTTTAACCAGGTAATGCACCTGATTTTTAAAAACTGACTCCACAAATGATTTTTTTAAAAAAAAAATCTTGAAGCCTCCTGTACTCCTCCATTACTCCAGCACCCCACTACCAAGTCTCAATTCCACAATCAGATGGTGATTGATTGCACTTTACCTAAGAGGGGGGAAGAGATTCTCTTATTCATGCAAAGCAAATCACTCCAGCTCCCATCTGTTTGAGATGAAACATTTCCTTGCAGCAACCTGGCAGAATTTGAGAGGGCTTAAAAGATATGTGTGGGCAGGTTTGTATGCATTTACATGAGTGTGGTGTGTGTGTGTGTGTGTGTGTGTGAGAGAGAGAGAGAGAGAGAGAGAGAGAGAGAGAGAGCACATGGTTAGACTATAAAGTGTGTCCTTTAGCCTCACAGAAGCATTAGTGAGCATATTTAACAAGGCAATCACTGACAGAGAAAATAAGCATGACTTCAGCATTCAACAGTGTGCCCCGATGGATTTAAAAAAAAAAAAAAAAAAAAAAACAGTAGCTACAAAATTCAAGGTACGTCCAGACTTCAAGGATGGGTTTAGTCACCAAGGCATGTTCATCTGTGCCATCCCACCCCACAAACATGCTCTTCCAGGCTAAGGACAACAACTCAAAAATTCCAATGTCTCGTTCAGTGGTGGAACTCAAATCAGAAAGGTCAAATTTTCAGGTGACAAAACAAAAACAAAAACAAGTAGATTGTCATTTAAACTATACTAGTAATATGAAACCTAGAAGGCAGGGGGTGTGGGGGGACTCACAGTTTTTATGTTGAGAAACATTGTCACCTGAACGCACTTAACGTGTATTCTCTTACAGGAGAAATTATAAGACACTGGGATATTTCTGAATGGAGAAATGGAAGGAAAGTGGAGAATGGATGGTCCAGGTTTCCATTGCCTCCAATGAGGTGTCATATCCCAGTGAGGTCATTTCCTGACTTCAAAGCATTCATCTAAACTGCCTCAGTCAGCCTTAGTGGTTATAACCTGATGTTTTCTGCAAGAGACATTGATCTCTACTTGTTCTACTTTCCAGCTGCACTAGTCCGCAATGAAGAGGCGGCCCCGACTCACTGACTCCCTTTGGGCCTGGACCCTCCTTTTCACCACATTGACTGGAAGAAGGTGGGGACGATTTCTTTTAAATCTGCATGAGAATTTCTGTACTTTTTCATTTATTCTACTATGGGGAAGAAATCAGTTTTGGTTGAGTTATGACTAAGGGAATTCCAAAAACTTAACTGCAAAATAATTCCAGCTCAGAATAAAGAGCAATATATTTTTTAAAAAATCCATCGCAGTTGCTTGTTAGATTGAATAAACTTAGTTTTAAAATGCCTTGTTTCACTATTTACATTTAAACCGAACTTCTTCTCACTGTTCAGCTGTAACTGAACAAAACATGCCGCTTCCAAATTCAGGGAAAAAGTTTCCCCAATTAATGTTCGTGAACTGTGCAAGTAATGCTCCAACAAGAAAATTTCTAGACAACTATATAAATAACAGTAACTTATGAAACTATATGAAAGTCAAAAGTTTAAAAATAATATCTGAAAATTTTAAATCTTACGTCTTTATAAATAACAGTACTGTGTTGAAACTATGTGGATGTCTAATAGAGGTGAAATAAACTAAATATTTAGGACATTAGAAAATATCGAACTTTTCCATTAAAGCGTATTTACTATAGAGAGAAGTTATGAGAAAAATTTAGTAAGTTTAAGTACTCAAAGTGCTTACTAGTGGTATAATTAAGCATAATAGATAGGATGCTCCTCATGATTATATAGTTAAGTGATTGAGACTTTTCTTTATCTGCTTTTTTATTTCTTGTGTAGTGTACTCCTGTGGCTGAAAAGCCTTCAGATGTATTATAAAAACCTAAGGCTCTTCAAATGTAATGGAAAGTGAACCCTTATGAAAAAGGGGGAACCATATAACAGACTATTTAGATGTGAATTTAGGAGAATTTCTTCCATTGAGAAGCTGCCTGTTGTTTTTGTTTACTACTGTGTGTGATAAATAATTACCTAGATGAATAGGAAAGGCATTACTGTCAAATCCTCTTAATCTGAGGGGTGAAATGTTTTCGCTGCTCTTGAGAAATTGCATGAAGTGTTACTATTGTAATGACCTGTAGATGGAGTTAGTGCACAGTTTTTTATTATATGCTGGTTCATATGGAATCAAAATCAGCTACTGTCACTGACATTTCTTTTCAAATTACATATTCACTTTCAGAAAAGCTGCATTGGTATAAGTGTTTAATACCAAAGAAGTAATCCTGATTTTTATCTAGAGTTCTTCTCTGACAACTGGCAGTAACAAATTATAAAAAAAAAAGATGGAGAATGACCATATTAGAAAATCACATAAAAGAGAGATTACCATTCTAGTTGGGATAGACAGCTGGCTTTCTAGGAGGGAGGGAAGAGAGGCTTTGGACCTTTGTAGAGCGATCATCAATTATCAGTGAAAGCTGTATCTGTAAGATAAAAACAGGGGGGAGGGGTGTACAACACTTCATGAATCTGAACATAAGCTATAAAAACAAAAGGAGCACAGGCAAAGATCACAGATAACTCCACAGTCTAGACATCCTACTAACTAGTGGTTCTCTGTATTGTCACCCCACTCAATCTCTCTTCTCCTTCTGTTGCTTTCTGCCTTAGTGCCCTGGAGCAGGCCCTCCTCACAGCTTAAGGTGTGCTAGCATTTCTTTACCACACTTTATTGGGATGACCTTCTAATATCCTTGAAAGATGCAAGCATGTCATTTGGTTTTTAAGAAAATGATTTTTTATAAATAACTGCATTCAGGAAAGCATTTTTTGCTCTCCTAGTGTCAGCTGCTACTGAGGCATCCTTGGAGACAGAAATCACTAAAAATTTTATTTTAAAAGCTATTAAAGATATTTAATTTTGCCAAGGAAGATGCCCTTAATTTGCATGGCATTAATGTTGAATGGAAGGGAATGAAACATTTTTCCTGGAGGTGTATTTCATGTGTTTAACATTGTGAATAGTTTCTAATTATAATAGCCTCATTAAATTAAAAATTTATCATAAAAGGACCGCAAGACTGTGCCCTATAAAATTAATAACCTACAATATTGTGTTTATTTCTGAAATCATATTTTGATTATAATTCCTATTCATGTCAAGTAAGTGGGTCCTGTTTCAGGTGTATTTTTTTTAGATTTCTGCAGTATAAACACAAATGAGTGGAGCCCAAGACACATTAACAGGGAAGTATGAGAGTGGTATTTTTGTGACAGTCTTAGTTTCCACCCTGTGTGTTGGTTTTTGTCTTTCTCATAGTCAGAACTTACTGAAATACATCAGTAAGTTTGAGCCATCCTCAGATGAAAAATCTTTTCTCAAGGGAGTTTGAAGGTGACATCCTGATCTTTACATAAAATAGCAGCTGTAGATCATTGATTCTAGTTTGATCGATGAAAGAGAAGCAGAACATTTGATCAGTGGTCACTGTGTGTTTGAAACTCAAAGACCAGTACTAGCAAAGCCTAAAACTATGCCTTTAAATACAAATGTTTAAATAAACATACTTATTCCATAAAAAGAACATAAAGTCTTTAGATTAAAAGTTGAAGAAAACTGAGCCTACTAAAAACCTTACTCACAAATATCTGTGTTTCCTTAAACAAAATACTAATGCTGTACTTTCGTTTAGTGAACCATCAATTAAGAATGTTGGACTTGGCCACAGATTTTTTTCAGAGTGTCTTGTAATTCAAAGACCCAAAACGACAAAAATTCAGTTAGTCAGAAGTTTGAGTTCATCACATTATAAAATTTAGTTCATAAACCTTATAGGAAATGGAAATTATACACTGATATAAAATATAGTCATTTAAGAAATTGTATCTCTATTTTTATCTAAATATTTTGAAAAACCTGAACACACAAATATTAAATGACTAAAGGAAGAGATGTCAATAGGTGAAATTTAGGCCTTTTCTATATTAATTTTAATGAAAAATACTTAGTGATACATTATTTAGTGATATTGGGGGGTGCTAGATTTTTTTCTAGGATACATTAACATCCTTTTTCACTCAGAGGAAAAAAGACGCATTATATCACTGTATCTATGCTGAGAATTACAGATATATGTAAAGAAAACATATCTCCTGTAATTTTTTCCATTTGTTAAAATATTAGAACAAAATGTTTGAGAAATATAAGACTAAGCATGAGAAAATGGTAAGAATTAAAATATGACATTTTTCATTTAATCAGAGGGATTTTCAAATTGTATCAATAGAAATGAAAATAAGAAAGTGAGGAAAGGATATTTGGAAACATGGACGTGTATCTATAATATAGGTATTGCCTCTCTTTATGCCACTTCCAGCTATGGACAAACTTCATTACAAGATGAACTCAAGGACAATACCACTGTCTTCACCAGAATTTTGGATCGACTTCTAGATGGTTATGATAATCGCCTGAGACCAGGGTTGGGAGGTAGGTTGCATTATTTTTGTGGGAAAAAAAATTAACTTTAACTGTCGACCTTTAGTAGTAAAGTGATAAGAATGGCAGCATGAAGTTTAAGCACTAATCATATTTTCAAGGAATTGTGCAATGTTATCTCAATCCACCATGGCAGTTTCATGAACACACCTATCCACATGTAGTGAAAGGGAGATATAAAATTCTCATAGCAGGGAATCAAGGAGGCAGTACAGTAGGTAAGACGCCTACCTTGCGTGCAGCTGACAGGGGTCCAATCCCCAGTATCCCATAGGGTCCCCTGAGCCCCCCAGGAGTGATTCCTGAGTGCAAAGCCAGGAGCAACCCCTGAGCACTGCCAGGTGTAGCCCCCAAACAAAAACCAAACAAACAAACAAAAGGAGGTTAGTATCATAACATTAAACATGTTACATTTTCTTAACAATTATGATTAGCTACGTGTAATGGTTTGATTAAACAGGGAGGAAATATTTCTTGAATTCAGTGACGATGTAGCAGTGTCCGTTGAAGAGCTGCATGCATGCAGTATTGGGCCTCACGAGGAGAATAGTATCCCTATTTTTCGTTGGTTTGTTTGTTTTTACATGTTGTCATTTTGCCTATTAACTTGTGTTAGATTGCCACCACATCTGGGATAAAAGTTGAATGAGACAGATGGTGATGATATTTTTTAACTCCACATTGGAAGAGAAACTTTAATTTTATGAAATATCATTATATTTCTCGTGATATATCAATCGTTGATTAAAGTAATGTACTTCTACTTAGAAAGGCAGTGGTTGGCACTATGTAATACAATATTATACACATACTTGTATGTTTCTTAAACAAGATAATCAACTTAGCTTATTGTTAAACACAGACTAATAAAACCAAAGTGAAACACTGCACTCAAGAGTAAAAGCAAGAAAATGATACAAAGGGAACCAAGGTCAGACAATGATTCCAACTCTAGCATGTAATGCTTCTTTTCTGAAGCATAAAGAAACAATTTAAAAGGCAATGTTTACATTACGTATACATAATAAAACTAAGAAAGTCTTCTCTTTATCTAGACAGAAATATTGTGTAAAGATTAAGAAGTATTCATTCTAATACATTCTACACAAATCCCTTTGGGTTTGAATATCGTATTCTACCTCGTTTTTCTTTACAAAGTTTTTAGAGAAGAAATCTCAAGAAGTAAGTCTATTGGTCCAAAAGAGGAGATGAATGTCTGTGAATTTCTAAACATATGGATTAGGTTTTGGGAATTGTCCTTGATTCATAAAACTGGAAACAAATTACAAAAATTGGAGGTAGGGAGAAATTCACAAGGAGAAAAAAAATGAGTATTGATGAAACTTTCAACAGCAAGATTTTCTAAAGTGCTAAAGGCCTTATACCTGAGTCCTTTCCTGCTCCACATCAGTCGTTAGAAAATCAGCACATTTTTATAACAAAATCTAAAAAAACCTTGTCTTCATTTTAGTTTAGGAAATTCCATCTAATTCTTGATCACATGAGTATTATCTGTAAGTGCCGGGCATAGTTAAGAGTTTGTTAATAAAAATCACATACAGACAATCCTTGAATGATCATCCATGTGGTTGTACATGATTTAGTAGTACAAGTGGCGCCTATGTTCAAGTGACAGCTATGTTAAAGGTGTTAGGAGTATAAGTGACCTGTTCCTGGCTGCTTACTTATCCTTAAGTGTATATGATAAATCTTTAAAAAACTGTTCATCAACTCTTCAGTCATATATAGCAGAGGCTGGAAGCCCTTGATTTGTCCTCTGATACACACCTAGGTCTTAGAAAAGCCAAGACCATGAAGATGTGCAGTCTAGACTAGGAATGGCTTGAAAACTTAATATTTAAGACTGGAATCCTGGTAGATATGTTAACAGAAGCAAATACATAGTTTTTTACTGCAAGTTGCTATTTTGACAAAATATACTTTGTGGTATCCATTTTATTCCCCCAAGTAAATCTGATGAAAAGAACAGAAATGTTAGCTGGTCAAGTAGAAAGGAGGCATATTATTTTCAGTGGAAATGGATATAATTTGCTATAGCATTAAAGAGATCAAGGCCTCAGAAAATTTAAAGCAATGAATAGGTATTGAAATTTGGTGAAGATGACTTTTCTGGTTCCTGGAAACAGCTTTTGAGAATATAGATTTTGGGGATATGATAAGTATAAAAAGGAGTTAAAAGGTAACAGTTTCCTCTATTTCATTTTCTATGTATTATCATGAAATGCCCTCCCGTTGATCGTCGATTTGCTCGAGCGGGCCCAGTAACGTCTCCATTGGAGACTTTGTTGTTACTGTGTCTGGCATATCGAATACTCTCAGTAGCTTGCCGGGCTCTCCGAGAGGGGCGGAGGAATCGAACTCGGGTCGGCCATGTTGGCCGCTTGTAAGGCGAACGCCCTACCCGCTGTGCTATCGCTCCAGCCCATGAAATGCATTCTAATGAAATCTGTTGGATTTAAGATATACCAAAAAAAAATCCTTTAATACCTTTAAAACTTAATTTTTGTCATTTTTAGCCTAAAAAGTTATAATGACAAGTCTTCTTTACATTTATCTCTAGATCATTTACACTTGGGGGGATAGGGAGAGTTTTAGGTCACATGGAGCTATGCTCAGGGTATCCTCCTGGCTTTGTGCTCAGGGACCACTTCTGGCAGTGCTCAGGGATAGTACCAGGGTCGGTGCACGCAAGACAAACATCTTAACCCCTGTACTATCTCTCTGGATCCATTTGCAAATGTGGAGACAGTCTTTAGGGAATCATATCTTAAAATATTAAAGTACAGTTTTTATAGCCATTTAAAAATATAATTAGTTATGAATTATAGAGAATGCATATACCATGCTTTTATGGTGCTCAAAATTTAAAATTTCTCACTTATATTATTCTGGAAATTTTTTAAATTCATTTTTCTCTTTCTTTTTGTGACACTGGGAATTGAATCCACAGCTTGACATATGCAAGATCTACCTACCACTGAGTCACATCCCTGGCCCTTAATTTAATTTCTTTATGATACATTTCTGGTCAGTTAAGCAGGATATGTATTCCAAAATATCTCCATTGCATAAGTAGAGAAAAAAACAACCATGATCCATTTGCTTTCAGATGAAAAGACTATGTAAAGGAAATACATGACAGATTATCATTAACTTATAAAAGGGTAAAAGTTTCTTCTTACTAGGTTTATCATCGCAGCCAAGGCAATCTCTGCTTGCAAGAGAAAATGGCCCACTCTCTTTTGCATATGACAAAAATGTGCTTCTATAAAAATAACAACATTGTACAGAAGGCAGGGATATTTTGTTCTGAATGTACTCAGAAAATATAGAAATGTGATAAACTAAGGCTTGAGACTAATGTAGGAAACTCTTTTTTGTGCAAATTCATTATGACCTGCATTTTGGAAATATGATCTTCACGAAGGAATAGAATTCTCTTTGGAGAAATTCACATTGTGACCAATAGTCAAGATTGAGAAAATATAACTTGGTTCATCTAGGTGATAAAAATCATTTTTCAGGTATTTTAACACTATTTAAAGGACTACTTTTTATTAACCAAGACCAATTTTGAGAAAGTGAAAATAAAAGAATAACATGGAGTGATATATGGAGAAGATTCCCCCAACCCCCAGGAGAGACAAAAATGGATCAGAATGTACAGAATTCTAATAATTGAACACGACTCTCTTCAGACACATAATGAGAAAAAAATCATACTTTAAAAAGCTAATGAAGAAATCATTAGATAGACTTGTATGGCAATAGTGAGCATTTGGAAAATAGAAATCAAAACTCTCAGTTTAATTACTGAATTTATCCTGGTTTAGAATCTCTTTCTTTGACGGCCGGGTGCAGAGCCGGCTTCTTCTTCCAACAGGGGCTGTGGATGTTTTTGACAGAAAGGCCCTTGCCGAAATCATAGCCAGTTCAGAGGAACCGAAGGACTGAAGGGCAAGTAGCAAGAGAAAGATTTTTAAAAATACTGTAGTAGAGAGAAGAGCAAATGAGAAAACTGAAATCAAGGAAGGAGACTAGAGAGGAATGAGAGCAAAGGAACTACCAGTGAACAGGAGGAAACCAGTGACCAGGTCTGGGTGTTACTTGATTATGCAAATGTCAGGGCTCTCTTAGATCAACACCAAATCACCAACATCCTGAGAAAATTCATTTTCCCATGCTTTTTTGACCCTCAGAGATTATGGTCATAATAAGCTCAAAAAGCCTACCTTTATACAACTTGCTACAAGATTAAATAATTCCCACCTCCTCTCTGAACTATACTCCTGTGGATAAGATTTCAGCCACACTCACAGTAGCTGCCCCTAAATTCTGGAAGCGGGTGGAGGGCCAAGATTGTTCAGACACAAAGACCTAAAACTTCATTCTGTAGTTTTCAGGTTTGGAAGGTTAAGTTATGACCTTCTGATGCCACTGTTCCTTCCTTCCACCCTCCCATAGTCAGGCTAACCCTTTTATTATATGACAAGCCCACAGGGTAAGGCTGTTGTTTATTGTCTGGACATGCATTCTGCGTGAAGGGTAAACCCTCCCCCTGCTTACATGTTCATTCTTATACAGATAGCTTACAAAGCACCATTTTATAAAATATTTCATTCCACTCCTTGGAAAATAAATTAGGGCAAACTCACTTTTAAATGGAACACAAACAGCATTGTACAAATGAATGAGATCTATGATGATCCACAGTAAAGAAACTATAGAATTTTGCACTCTGTGAATGATAGTTTCTGGAAATTGGTATAAATTCTGCCTTAAATTTAATTTAAATAAATAAACTATAGTATAGATGCCTGTCAAAGATTTTATCACCAAACCACGTAGACAAAGAAGCAAAGGAAAGAGAGGAACGTATACTCGTCATGTATAAATCTCGATGGATAAGTAGAAGAAGAATTAAACAAATACATAGGTCAGACAGTAGGAAAAAAGAGACTTTATTTATC